CCCACCTGTGAGGCTAGGCTCAATTATGTACTCCGGGTAACACACCTGGATCGAGGTGCGCGTACTCCTGGCGTCGCATGTTTGGTCTGTCATGCGCTCTCTCAGGAGCTCCTTCACAATAGGGCGGAATGCGTGTCCGCGGCTCTCGAGGAGAGGGCCCATGACAAGCTTGCTGGTTTGCAGGCATCGAGTCAAGGGGCTAGTGTAGAAAGAATGCGGCAGAGGCATCCTGCCGTTAGCAACAGCGTCCTGCCAGATGAGACTCAGTTGCTTGGCTTGGTTGATGCCCTCCTCGACAAGAGGGGCGTCACGCCAAACGACTGCGCCGTCGCCGTCAAGCCGCGACCAGTAGCGCTAGTATCAGTCAGTCATCAGAGCTCTGTCACGCTATTGCCACCTCTCAGTGCTCGACTTACATCCCACTCTGGTGTGCCAACCTTGGCCTGCTGGACATTGTGGTAACCTAGGCCGTGCCTCGTGAGGAACAGCACTTTGTATTTGACGTCGCCTTTGCTCTCGGCGTTGAGACGTGTGACATTTGTGACAAGACGCTCCCAAGGCGTGCCCGGAATTTCAATCTCGGGGTACTCGCGGTCGAGAATACCCAGATTCGGTTGAGTTGTCGCCTTGCCTGAGGGATCCTGGGCGGCCACTTGCTCGTAGTCGACGAAATAATCAGGCAGGATCGTGAAGCGATAGCGAGGACCCGCAAACGCCGCCATGTTCCTGATCGCCACGAAGGCGCAGATGAAGACTGACAGCCAAAAAACGGCAGCGATGCTCTTCTTCACTGACGTTCTCATGAGGTGTCGTTCGTCCACGGGTGGATGTGTGAGAGGATCAAACCGGACGATCCGGCTGTCAGTCCGGACGACGAACAGGACCTGGTTGAAGAAGTGAAGCTGCACAGGCCATGACGAGCACGACCCCTTGGGAGGACAGATGATGAGGCATGCGTATGACCACTCATTTAGCACGAGCGAGGGTTGCATCTCCACTGAGCCGGGCTGTGCTCTGTTAGTGTCCAGATTGGCTTCCAGGCCACGTCCCCGATGAGATTAGGCTAGGTGTCCATCGCGGCGGGCAGTATTGGCATTTCGCGGCATTTGATTGCTCCAGATTGCTACCTAATCTGCCCCTGAAGCATATTTCTCCAGAACCGCGCCCACGTAGAGATCCACGTCCTTGTGGTCGATGAACCCATGCACGGCCAACAGTTCGACAGCCGACCTCGCATTCGCCCGCGACTTGCCGCGCTCGTTCAGGTACCAGTAGATCCTCGCCAGCGAATCGTAGTGCTCTGTCATCAGCGGCTGCAGCCCTTCCGTCTCGAGGAGCGCGAGGATGGACTTGATGAGCTTGATGGCGCTGTGGATCTTGCCTCGCCCCAGAGAGTCGAGGACTTCGGCCTGGAGATCTTCGACTTTGCTGCGACGCGCGTCCGATTCCGCGATGACGTCGGGCGCGGCAGTGCACATTTCGCAGGTGCATTTGAAGCCCCAGTCGGCCAACGTGCTCTGCCGCTGACTGTGCGTCAGTCCAAATGGAGCGTCTGCGAATTTTCGCGCTGTTAGTTGTGTTATCAAGAGATGGACCTTGGCAAAAGGCTCACAGCTTATGGTGATCTCCTCCCCTGGATGAATGTCGCGGAATGCTACAACAGTCGCTCCGAAACTCCTTTTCGAAAATCGCATGAAAGAGCTACATTATGAGTGTCAGTCCATCTGGGATGATAATTAACACGAGAGACTAACTTAGGTTTGCAGGCATGATTAACTCTCTACGTTGGATTAGTTCAAATAAGGTTCGAAACAAGATTTCGCTGATACTGACCGATATCTTGGGGAACATGCCCATATGCGGCACCCCGGAGATGTCGAGGTTAAAAGAATTCGTCCTCATAACGTCCTCGACAATGTCAGACTGGTGACCCGGGTTGCTTCGACCTAGCGACAGCAAAGCATGAGGGTTTCGAAGCCTCTCGGCAGCCGTGTGAAGCTGTTCGTAGCCGTCCTGCTGCCTCACCGAAGCGGTGACCTGGAAGTTGACAAACATGACGGCGTAGTCGCTCATGAAGACATCGTACTTCTTGATGAGCCGCGTCGCCACGACGCCTTTCCCTTTGCCCGGCAGATCCACAACTTCATAAGCGGGGTCGTCCTCTAGCTTTTGCCAATGCTCCAAGTTGGGAGCGCCGACGGAGGAGAAGGATGGATCTTGGAGCGTGTCGATGTTGGCAGCCGCTATCTCGGGTGTTGTGATGAGACTGAAGCCGTGTGGACCGTGGCCGGCGTCCGTGTAGGCGCAGAACTTCACCTTCGGGTCGTTGGCAGCCTCGACGCATGATGGTCGATGAGTCCATGGCGCCCAGCTCTCAGGTCGAGGGCCGGCTGTATCATCGACGGCAAGCGGCGATGTGTTTCGCGATGCCCATTGTATGGAGCCGGGAAGATGCGCCAGGCATTCGCCCCGCCACGATGGCCCACGAGGATCAGTTGCACTGACGAGGAGCCCGGTGCCAGCCAGAAGCAGGGCGGTCGAAATGGAGATGGAGCGCAGTCGATCAATCATTTTGATATCATCCTCCAGGCCATCAGAAGCCAGTCATTCAAAATTGGGTACGTGAACAAACATTAGGACAGCTGGCGGCTACGACAAATAATTCAGACGTTGGCCTTCGGAGCCACGAGGGCCGCATGGCACGGACGGTCGTGTTACAGAAGGGGCCCAGCCTGTCTCAATCCACGTTTAGGCTATGGTGCCCCTGTGCAGACGGCCAAGCTTCCTACACCGAGCGTATTGGTGTTTCACGCCGTATCACGACGAACTTGACGATGAAACCCTCTGGGGAGGCGGCACACTTGCAAGTCAAGATGCTATTTCCCAATTTCTAAGATCAAACCGCTCTGAAAAAAAGAAAAATAAGAGGTGATTGCCAGATCCTCCCAGTAGCCGCGGCAGATCAGGCTCAAGGGGAAATCTCATTGCTGGCAGAAATTTCTCAGCACGGACAGGTCGTGGTCGTTTGGGAGCATTCGTACCAACAGGATGGCGTCACCACTGGCGGCCGGCATGCGCACAGTCGAGCCCCTTGTTGTCAAAATACACATGACTGTTTGCGCCCAGACGTTCGAACACGATAACGCCATGTACGTCGCGCAGAGTTTCAATACTGAGGCAGAATTATAAGCTCAGCTCCTGCGCTCCGTCAAAATCCCTCCGAAAAGGCCGGTCGCTTGACTAGCCACGACATTTTTCGGATTTAACAGTCAAGAATTGTCAAGTGGCATCACGATGTCGTATCCCCAACGAGTGCGCAGTCATGCTTCCCCCAATCACTGACGACTAAGAATC